TCCATAGGGACATTCCAGAGGCTGTAGTCTCAATATTAACGTTGTAAGTTCAATTACCCTCCGACTAACCATGACAAAAACGAGCATACCTTTCAATTAATAAAAGACTTCGAGACGAATCTTCACAAAATAACAGAAACGTTTAGAGATTTCATTCGAGCTTCTCTTTATAGCAAGCTCTATACTTGTAAACAATAATATCAGAAACATCAGGATTGATTCCACAATTCTTAGAAATCTGAAACTGTCATAAAAGCTACTCTGCAAATTAAAATTATTCAGGCGGACCAGTCAGCTTATGCAGCCATTAATGAAGAACAGTATTAGAGTGGGACTTCTTAGACCCAACTAAATTTGTCATTAAATAGATCTTGTTCTTAAATAATTACTTGAATATAATACAAAAAAATCTAAAAAGATGGAATTAAAAGGATATATCTTCTAAAGATTTCAATGTCATCTACCCTACTTCCCCTAATGTAGCATGTGGTAAAGGATTTATCAAGATTCACAAACAGAACCACCTGAGGCCTGTAGTACCCTCGAAAGGAAGTACACATGATGCTTATGCAAATTCCTCGATCACCTTAAAAATTCTCTGTTGAGAAATGGTTACCCCTATACTGTAAAAAAGTTTTGAACTCATTAATAAATTGCGTCAGTGCCCAATAAACCCCGTACTACATCTCGAATCCCCCGCTGTACAAGCAATATAATCCTAGCTCCCACATCGCGTAATATTAACCAACTTGGAATAAGTTGTATCTTTTAGTGCACTGGCCGAAATCGTGATGAGAAAATTAGAGATATGTGCTAAAAATCTGAATGCTAATTTTTATTCAAGATATGTGGGTGATACAATAATAATTCTTCCTGGTGGCCGGACTGAATCTCTTTTACTTAAATTCAACTCGCACAAGCCTAAGATTCAATTTAATAAGGCAATGGAAACCAACCGTAAAATGAATTTTCTCCATGTTAGGGTTCGTCCAAAAATTACTCGTACGTAACGCTTATGAGGGGGAAGGATATTTGAGACAGCGTTACATAGGGATAAGGGTTGTTAGTTTGTTATTGCGTGCGGCTTACATTTATTGTTTAAAATTTCTTAACATTTGAAATGAAATAATTATTTTTAGTCTTATACTAAAACATTAAAATATTAACAAATTATTTTTTTAAATACAAATAAATTAAAATTTAGTATGTACAAACTGATACAAAAAAGGAAATATTTTCCATCAATAGTATATTTATTGAATCTCTTAGATTGCTGAGAAAATATTTAAAACTGATCTGTAGTATATTCTAGAATCCTATTTAATTGGCACAGTTGACTCTCGCCCGTGCGTTATCCAGGAAGGCGTGTGCTGTTGGAAATGTTCACGTCTAGACGTCCTTTATTCACTCAAAAATTGTTACCCGCTTTAGTGGTAGGAGCAGCCAGAATCGTCATCTAATTCTTACTTTCACTACCATAAATTTTAACATATAATGCAAATTGTTTTTACTGTGATGTACTTTATTTTTACTTCTTGTAAATGGGGGGAGGGGTCGCAAGCATTACGATTTAAGTGGGTTCAAGGGCGTGTTACAGGGGGAGGGGAATTCAAAATTCTCCACATTTGCGTTACGTAATTAATGAAGGGTCCCGTACATAATAAGAGCTTCAGCACCCATGCACACTATCTAACTGTTGAACACACGAGAGACACTATAACCTTTTCGCCAGAAGTTATGGGGCTTACTGCGGAAAATCTTACTTTTACCAACAAACCAGCCCGCCCCTCTCTGTTAAGAAAGCCAACTGAGCAATCTACTACCCTTAGTTCACTAGGGTCACATATATCTTGCCCGTCAAATTTCATCTTGTAACACATCTAAGAAGCCGACCATAAATCACGTAACGCAAATTCGCAGTGTTTTCAATACCCCATTCTCCACCTTGTAACGCGCGTTGACCCCTCCCCCTAAATAATTACTTAACGCTGGAGACAACACCTCCCCCTTGTAAATACAAGAAGTGAAAATAAATTATAGCGCAGTAAAACAATTTATATTTATTTTACTTGTGTAGTATATTGAAATTAGTGTGGCAATGCGACTGCTCCTAGCAATACGATTGGGACAAGCTCAGAGTGAAGGAGACGCTTAGGCGCGACTATGTTTGATGACACTCTGCCGTCGTGGATGACGCAAAAGGGAGAGTCTTGGGCGCCAATTTAAATGGATTCTAGAACATACATCAGATTTGAATATTTTTTCCCGTAATTTTAGATGTTGAAAAATATTTCTATTTATTGTTTCAATTTACATCTAATAACTTTTTATGTTTAATGTAACTGTAGATTCTATGTTTTAAAAACAAATTAATTAGTTAATATTTTAATGTTTTACTACAAGTCTCAAAAGAGATATTATTTCGGCATATGTTGAAAAAGGTAAAAAATAGATATTAATGTTACATAAACCTTAACTAATATCCGATGTAATGCTGCCTCACCCCGTTCCCCCTCTTTAGCGTTACGTAATTTAGACCCCTAAGACAATTCTTTCACTTCATAATTATCCACACAAATTTTCTGGTCTGAAGCTACAATCACACAATCTGGAGGTACAAGGATTTCTAATTCACTTGAAATTGTAAAATTTATATTACGAAGTGTACAAATATTCGTTCTCAATCTAAAATAATATTAATTTTGCTAAAGCTATAAAAGCAATTTTGTTTACTGTAATATAGACTGTTAAGTTCCTTCGAATCAGTGAAACCCTGCTTGATCTGGTTTCCTTCGATACATTTAGCATGTACTGTAAAACTTCCCTTATACCTTTTTCAGAGAACTGAAGGGACAAAATGTATAAGTGAGAAAAGAGCGTAACTGAAATTAATAATGAGCAAAATAAAAGTTCAAAATTTTTTACCCAATCTTTCTACCAGTTCTTTAGCAATATCTACTTTTTTATTGTCACTCTCCCTAACAACTTTTACAATTTTTATTTTATTCAAAGGAGTTGCCGTTTTACTCACTCTTTTTCGTTATATCGCGGACGCAAACCAGATAAAAGACGAACTATTTTTCGATTTAAACACAGCCTCAGATCTACAAATTACAACGCTGGTCAGCTCGGAAAAAATATAGTTGGCCGAAGGTCATCATTGAAGAAATCTCCGCTGAGGTGAAGGTCGGGGACACGTAATTGGGACCTAGTGCGATTCTGTTTCATTACAGAAACGAAGGACGTCCTACGTGAGTTACAACTAGCGGCGGCGACCCGCGGCTCGTTGCTTCAGTTTCAAGCTTGATGTTACTTGGAATTCGGCGGGTCAAAGCACGGTCTTCTTCGTGGGCGACTCCCACAACCAGGCTAAACCAGCTACGCCGCGCGAAAAAAAAGCATTCATTAGCTGTTGTGCCACGCTGTTACTGAAAGGATCTGGTATGATATTACGGTGAGCAAAAGGGCCTCCGGAGAGTGGGACAATCAGCGCACAAACTCCAGAGGTCATCTACGTCCTTACTCTCTCCCGGGGACACCTTGAAACTTCCCTAGGCGTCGCCTCCAGAGATCTTCAAAGAGCTCCCGCACGCAACGCACCCGACCGAAATTTTTCGACGTTCCGCTGCCGAAGCTGACTTTACGCAGGTTCGCGCGGTCTTGGCCCCCCTCAGCTATAACCGGTCGAGTCGAGCTTCTATATTACTAGTTTCATCAGCGAGAAGTCGCCTCAGAGACCGAGCCATAGGCCGCTCCGCGGAAGCGCTCCGGAGCGTGCCGACTCGAGTAAACGCCCATTCACAATGCTAAAGGAAACATAAGCGTTATCATAGAAGTTAGGACTTCGTCCATAAGCGGACTCATTCACAATACGTTCGCATAAGCATAACTCGTAAGACGTTAGCTTAAAAGCTTGCAAGCTTCTGTGCTTATGCTTACGGAAGACATAAGAAATGAACCAATCACAGAACGGTAACTCAAAATCGAGAATCGAAATCGGAGCGAAGTCGATAGAAGAACCATTGTGAATACTTCAGTCTATCGCTTATGTTAATGTTAATGTCTATGCGCTATGCTTATGTTTACGTTTGTATTGTGAATGGGCCTTAACAACATACAAGTTCCGGGCTCTAGGAGCAGGTCGGCCCGCGCCTCACAGGGATCATTCGAACGTTTTACGGTCTTAAAGGGAATTTTCTTGTGATGGAATAAGTGTGAAGAACGTATACACGTAAAACGCATAACTGAAATAATTTAGCATGGGAATTATAGGAATTCATCCGGGACTTTCAACAAAAAACAACCACACATACACCAGCACCAACAACAAAGAAGTGAAAAACGTTCTCCTCCCAAAATGTTTCAGTAACTACTTTTTAACTTGTCACAAAACTTGCAAGCAACTATATTTTCATAAAAACAATAACATGATGGAAATTGCATCACAACATGAGCTACGTTTAGCCTGTGCATGGCACACAAACTATTTTTAATAAGCATATTTTCCCTCCCCAAATTAGTCTCTGTGTCCGCCACTGTACAAATGGAGTTTCACAAAGAGCTTTACACATATTTTATCCCATGATGCCCAACCTATCCACTAAGTTCAATTTTGTAAACTGATTCCTAATAGTTATGTCGTTCTCATTGTTACAGTATAGGAGAATATAACACAAAGCTTACAATAGTTTCGGGAAAATGATCCAATTGTTTTCCTACTTTCATCACACACAAGTCAAAATAATCTAGCTACTTCCTAATTTCTTCTACTAATCTACTTCACACATTTCAAGTCTCACAATCATAATTTTGTCACGGAAGTAAGTTTTTTTATGAATCACGTAATTGTTGGAAAGTGAAAACAATTCTGGAAGTAAATCTAAACTTTTTTCAATCTTCAAAGCATTCTCTGCAGAAAATAACAATAAGTGATACCGTAATCAGAGAACATTGCATCATTAGAAATAATTATTGATTATAAAATATAAGTACTACCTATACTTTGTGCACAATGGCATTTTAATAAAATTATAATATATTTTCTTGATGTTCGCTCATTTCAAGAGTTTTAAGCATCTTCTTGTTCACAAAAATTTCTTTTAAAAAAGAAAATGATGTAAAGAAAGACAAAATAAATATACAGAACATATATATATTACAATGTAAATCATACATGAATATACAGCAACTATAATAACATTTTCATCTCAAATTGCAATCCACTATCATACCTCATCTTAGAGAAAGCAAAGGTTTACAATCCAAAAGCTTCAGTATTTCTTGAAGTAACTGCAGCAATTGCTCACCAATTCCTTGCTTTAAAACAATGTCATGGATGGAGCATAATTACTTCCTCTATGTGAATGCATTACAAGTAAATCATTTACATTATAAAATAGTACTTTCAAAGAATCAATACGATCAAACCAAACAACTGAAGCATTCTATACAATTAGCTACCAAGCACTTCATCTTCTAAGTTTTGTCAACAAAGGGTAATCTTAACTATACAACATACACACAAAATTTGCAATCACTGGTGTAACTACTTATATACATATGTACATCAAACACAATGCATTCTACTGTGAATGAATTGAAAGACTTGATCTTGAGTGTCTCCATTAGGAAATGATGGATGTTCACACTTAAAGTTGGTAATTCGGATTTTAACTTAAAGCAACAAATGTCATAATAAAAGTTAAATGAAAACAATATTTTGTGTTTCCAGTTGTTGCGGAATAAATAACCATGAAAGGATCCAAAACCCCATAGTAAGTACTTTAGAGAAATCAAGAAATTTTCAAACACACATTAGAATCATTATTCTTAGCTACATTTACACAATGCAAGTTTCAATTCCATTCAGAATGATCCTAGCTTCTTATACTACAAATGGATCTGACTAACAAGGTCTTTGATATAAAAGATAAAGGATCTTCAAAGACAATTCACTGCACACATTATTTGTTAAAAAATTTGGACAAGTCTTGTTCCTACATAAATAATTCAACAATTCACACATTAACCTCAATATCCTGGAAATAAAACTATTTATAAATTCAATAAATCACTTTACACACACAACTGAGCAACCAAATTGTGACAACTTCTAATAACAAATTTTTTAAAAAAAGTTCAATTTGAAAGGGAATGCACCAATATTATGAATGACCACTTACGAAGCAAAAGTACTCTTCTTGTACACTCTGGCAGCACATTCTGTATGTATCTGATTCACATTACAAGCAAACAACAATGCATGCACTGAAGATTTAAAAATAAATATATCATCTATCTCACAACATTGTCTTAGATTCATAATCCCAAAATGTTCACTGACCAATAATACTGAGTTTTAGATATGCTGTGTGACATTTGTGAGATACATCACAGTTCCCTGAAACATCTGTCACAATTCTTGACTCTTCTGGAAATTCCATGTTGCCTCAGGCACAAGAAAGGTTTTTTAAACATGGGACCTTCTCCAATGGCAATAAGCACTGGAGATCAATGAAGGCAAATTTGAAAATCACAGGAAGAAAGTTAAAAAAATAAAAATTAAATAAATTTAAAAAAGAAACAGTGTGTCATTTACTTGTATTCCTCGTACTACAGTTTAATTGTCGTTGCAAATAAAAAAAAAACAACAAATTGGTATCCAATTCTGAGTGGTCCCCATGTTTTTAATGTCACATAGAAGAAACAGGTATTTCAATCAATTTTCACAGCTGCATAAATCTTACGAATGAAAGCATATGCAGCAAAAAATCCAATTGTTCCAGTAAGAAGCCAGAAAGTTAGCACCATGATACCAGTGTAGCCAAAGTACAATAGTGTGGGAATAAATTCAGTTATTTCCAATTTGGTGGCAAAATAGAAAACTGAGTAAGCAAAAACATACACAGCTGAACCACCTGACACAATAAAACTTCTCCACCACCAATGGTAGTCCTGAAACACAAGAAAGATGAAAAATAAGGAAAATTCAATCTCGAGTTGATCTGAAAACAACAACCATTTTGCCACAATAAAAAGCATATAAACAAAATATTAATTTAAAAAATCATTTTTTAATAATTTTACTACCAAGTAATCAATGTTTTTAATTTTTTTATTCTTTCAGTACAACTAAATTGAGGAAAAATTGTGATAAATTGAATGTTAATTTGTAAATGTTCTTATTCCATATGTGTGTAGTTCAGAGAGTTATATACTACTTTAGAGAGAAAGGATGATTTTTCGATAGAGGAATTCATTTTGTGAGTCCCTAATGCTGAAAATGCAGATTATTCTTACTCCTATTATGTAATAAATTACTTCCTCTAATACCTTATGCAGTAGGAATCTTTTGTAAGGCCTAAATATCACAGTATTGGTATACTGTAAAAAGTTTGTTCATACACATGTGAACAATGCATGTGCCTACACCGCTCACAGGATTTTACCCAAAATTGATATTCCATTATTAATTTGGGTGATGTCATGGCACATTGACTTTGAAAGAGATATTATTTACTTGCCGGGGTTCTAAAGATGAAGCTTAGTTTACTAAACGTTCTCAAAAATGCATCCAAATTTTATTCAATTTTTTCCCTCCAAATACAAGAAAGAACCCCCCAAAAATTTTGCAGGTCTGATTGACACTCAAATCTCTAAATTTTCGAAAACTGCAAAAGTTTAAAACTTTTTTGTCATCTTCCTACAAGTACAATATTTAAGATCGAGATTTTTTCTTAAAAAAATCTGTTCTTTAAAATAAAAACTTTAAATATCATCATGCAAACTTTTACAAAAACACAAGTTGTTTTTCAATTTTTTTGAAGTAAAATTGACAACTTTTATACTACAATACATAAACATTACAAATATTGCAAAACATTTCATGCTATTAAAACACCATTTTCTGCAGATACTATTAAGTACATTAAACATTTCATAAATTAACAATGTAAAATCAATCACATATAAATGTGATTGATTATGAAATTTCCAGCAACCTGTGGTTCTATTATCCCACAATGTCATGTTCCAAATTCTCAGCATTTTCAAGGTCATTACTGTTCAATAGTGAAAATTAATATTTATTTTAGGTTTATGCACATGCTTTGCATTAAATTATTAAAAACGTACCTTCTCAGTCTAATATATTTACTAACTAATAACCACGAAATGCAGTGTTGCAGAAACAATAACAATAGAAACTAAACTAATTACTCTAACTATTCTTACCTCTCCACACAACTGGAAATACACCATCACAATTGAGATTTGAGAGCAGGACACCACAAGAATGATGAAGACCAGAAACAAAAATCCAAAGAGGTAATAGAACTGGTTCTCCCAAATGGCAGTAAAAATAAAAAATAACTCTATAAAAACAGCTCCAAATGGCAAAACTCCAGCCATCAACGTGCTGCAAAATAAAGCCAATTTCCCTTACCCAAGAGAAAAACATCAACAACAAATTACACATGTTAAAATATTAAGATTCATCTGCTCACCAGAGAAAAGGATTCATATACCATAACTGGTCAGGAACTTGACGAGGAATTTGATTTGTGCGCACTGGATGCTGAAAAGGTTGTTTCCGGTAGCCAAAATAATACCCCAAGTAAACTAAAGGCAAAGATATGCCAAACCACAAGCAGAGGAGTGACATCATGGTGGAAAATGGCACTGCACCACTTGAGTGTTTGCCCCAAATAAAAAAATTCAAAAAAAAACACAGTCCAAAAACAATGGCAGGATAAAGTGTTGCTGCCTGAAAAAGTAATGAGATGACAGTTTGTTAGAAATATCACTTTGAGAAAAATAACAATAACATTTTAATTTTGCATGATGATATATCCATGAAACAATTTCACAGAAATTAAATGTTTCACCTTAATGTCAATTTTTAACTTTTAAAGAAGAAATTTACCAAAAACGCAGCTCGCTTCCACTGTCTACCCTTCATTGTCTTGTACAGTCGTGCAGAAAAGTACCCTGCAATTAATCCCATGAAAACATACAGGAATATGGCTGCAGTCATGAGAGCTCCTCTTGATGCAGGTGACAACATTCCAAGCATAGCAAAAACTGAAATAAAGAATAACTTGTAAATTCTTAAGAAAAATAATCAATACAAATTGGGAAAAAGATGAGAGAAGGAACAACACCACACTTACATATTGTAATTAAAGCCATGAAGAAGATTTGAATGCCACTGCCAATAACAGCAGCAAACAATCTTGGATATCGGGGTGGCCTGAACACATCTCCATGGACAAGTTTCCAGCCTGTTTCTTCTATAGCTTCTTCAGGCCCTTCATCTGCATTATATCGAGCAATATCACGACGCAGAGTACGCACCATAATCATGGTCAAAATACCTAAGTAGATTAAAAATTTAATTAGAAATGTGCCAGAAGACAATTGAAAAATGATAGCATCTCAAAAAGAATTTGTATAAGTAATTTGATTTTGAAAATAAAACAAGATTATTAACTACATAGTTCCTGATGGAAATAATTCTCATTTCAAATGTTGAGACTTCCTACAAAGCTGTCCTATCTAACAAATTCCATTTCAATTCCCAGTACAAAAGAAATGTAATACAACAAATTTCAAAAACTGGCAGATAGAATAAAAAAGTATTTGTGATTTTAAAATTTACATGAAGCTTAGGTAATACATTTTAACTTTTTCCTGTTTTATAATCAATGTGACCATAACACACCTGATAAAAAAAACACAACCACTAAAGAATTGATAATGGAGAACCAATGGATTTGAACATCATTCATTCCAAGATAAATGTCCCACCGGGATGCCCAACTGACATCTGATTCTTGCCACTCAACAGAATAAGTAAAATACAATTTAGTTCCGGCACGCATGTTTATATATTGAGGCTTGGCATGTGATGGAAAGGAACAAGTATCCCCTTCAAATTTCAGTTGTGTGAGATCAACACTTTGAGCTTCTACTTCAAATCCCACAACACGGTACATATCACTACAACAAAAATACATTTTTTTAAATACTCTCTTAGCTTATACAAATGTAAGATTTTTGTTTTATAGTTTTTTTCATCATACTTTGTTTGCTTATGATACTGAAGAATTAATTTTAAATGGTTATTTATGTAAACCCCATCAGCAGTTATTCCACCCAATCGATATCCATGCTCATATTGCACACCACCTTCTGGATTCACAACTTTTGTTGCACAAGGTAAATTATCAACAAGCCTGAAATCAAGAACATTTTTTCACATATTAAGTTACAGTATCATTGTTGTTAACATTTTTCAGAAATGCTTGTTCAACTCTTAGCTTACAAGTGAACAAAATATTCATGCTGTATTCGATTAATTGCTTTCTGAGAAGACTCTTCTTTCCAATTCAGAGGTTGATTTTCTTTATGGCACAAAAGACGACATTTAACATTTTCTGCCATTTGCACTTCATAAGGTGTATTTACTATTCTGTCTCCTCTCAAAACTTCACCTAAAAGTGGACAGAAATAGAAGGCTGAATCACGTAAATACTTGAACAATATATGATTTAAAAACTACTTTTACCTAAATTTTCAGATTTGTAAATAAAAGTGCCATTTTTTGGTACGCAGAACTCCAATGAGTAGTACTCGTATGGCAATTGTGTGTGAGTACTTGTCATTTTTACTGCTTTCACGTCAATTCTGGCTCCTTTTCTAAATTCCACAGGAGCAACTCCTGGCACATAGAAAGCTTCTTGTGTTTGCATTAAGAGACTTAAACATGTTAATAATATCCATATGTGAAACATCTGGGAAAGAAAAAAAGGTTAGTTATATGAAATTCATAATGCTAAATAATTAGTTTTCTTATTACACTTT